AGTACTCTGCGTTGTGTAATACCTTAACTAATAATAAAAAAAAAAAAAGTAAAAAAATAAAAATAAAAAAAATAACAAGAGATGCGAAAACCTCTGGAATTAGCAAGTAGTTCCCACCTATTATCTACTCTAGCGTTCACGTGGAGTAACTAGAAGATATAACCAAAAAATGACCAACCTGTATAGACCGATGGAGACCTATGGTCATTCCTCCTGTTCAAGCTTACAAAACTCTGACAATCAATGGAAATCAACATCCGAGAGCCCAAAGGCAGCAAAGGGAAATGACAAAGGAATAGGACATGAACCATCAAATACAAAGGAGTGAAGTTAATTTCTCTCTCCATGAAGTTCTTCTAAATTAAAAATACCCAACCATTCCCAGGTCAGACCAAAGTAGCAAGCCAAGAAAACATATGTTCGTGCTCATGTTCTTACTCTTCCTCTCTTCCATACTCCCTCTCTCTCTCCAGGGATCTTGTCCCTCCCTAACCTTCCTCTCTTCATTAATTCATCAGACTGTGCTTTTAAGAAAAGGACCCATGTCTATCATCTCTTCACTGTTAAACAGTCACCGTATTTCAACTTCATCTACACTAAAGAGTTCCAAACTCTTTTATCCCAATCTACATACAGCAAGAAGTACAAGAAAGCACAAGAGTTTGTGCATAGCAATCCTTACTCTTTCTACACAGGATGTACTGGATATTTTCTATTCTAGTTTATTTAATGTTTTAAATGTTGGTTGGACTTTCAAACTAATCAAAACCAAGAGGATGAAAAACAATGAGCTACATAGTCAATGTACTGTCAATCAGTGTACCAACAGAGAAAAGGTTTTGAAAGAAATTTGTTGACGCCATAGAATAGTACAATAAAATATTAATTTGTAACAAGTTCAGTTATTTTACCACTAGAGGCCCAATGCACAAAATTTGTGCAAGGGGCTTGGCCCTTGAAGCCCCGGCTGCCTTCCCCGCCCCCCTGACCATTGGTCATTCCAGAAGGTCATTCTGAAAGGTCGTTCTGCCATCCAGTCTAATTAGCATATTAGCTCTTTATTATATAGGATAACATAACCTGGGCTTACTATGTAATATTAATCAAGTCCTAGGAATTATGGGAAATTTCATAAAATTTACAACATACTATGCTATTTGTTGTTTGTTTTTACACTGCTATGCTAATGTATGCCTTGTAATTCCACATGAAATTTCTAAAATTCTCAAAGTGCTAATTCTGGCATCCCTGTTCTCACTCATAAAGCAATAGATTCTTAAAAACAGAAAAGAAAGAAATGGAAAAATAATAGCCACCACTTAGAGAACATGCTTCTACCATGTGCCAGCACTGTGTTAAATCAAATCGCTGTACTTATTCACTATTCTTCTTAGAAGAGACTATTAGGTGGCTAGTATAAAGGAAATAAGTGCCCACGCTATATTTCTGAGACATTTATAAGATCCTAATTGAGGATTTTAAAAAAATAATTTTAATCCTCTGTATTAAATGAACATATTGACAATTTGGTGTGATTCATAAACTCTACTCAGGAAAAGCTAATGATAAGGAACAGCCGAAGTGAAGGACAATATACCTTCCAAAAGATTCAGATCCTTCCAATCAAGTCATCATCACCTCACTTAACTGACCCACGCATGAAAAAATGTGAATAATCTTTAAAACTATGCCAATGAAAGAAAAAGTTAAAACCACAGTACCTGCTGATGTACTCTAGCAACAAGTTTATTCATTGTTCAGGTTAGTGTGTGTGCTTGTGTATCACTGAACAAGCTATAAAATTAGTGTTATTTAAGGTTAATTTAAATGTAATGTCACAAAGTCCAAGATTCAGGAAGTATCAAAAACCAGTTATCCACATATAAGTAGCTAGGATGTTTCTTTTGTATTGAGTAATACCATCTTTCATCTATTTTTTAAGTAAATTAGTAAAGAATTACCTTAAACTCCCATTTCCCATTTCAAAGTAGAGGGTAGCCAATTGAATGAATAATAAATTTAGTTATTACTAGGAAGATATTTTTACTTCTACAACTCTACTGTAACTTATTCTAGAGTTAGACTACTGACATCAACACTCTAATTTTATGAACATACAAATCATAATTATTTCAACAACTTAAAAATCAAAGGAGACAAAACATAGTCTTTCAAGTCTTTGGACATAACTAGAAAATATGTTTTATTAAATGGAAAGTGACCTATGGCCTTAGGGAAGTCTCATTCCCTTGCGCTATTGCTATTGGCTTAATCCCCTCATCCTCTCTGGAGCGCTACTTATTTACTCCCTCAAGCACTCAGAGCAAGGATGCTGCCAAATACATTCATCTCACTTTGAATCGTCATTTTCTTATTGTCATGACACTGTAATGAACAAAACATTAACTGTACCAATATAAACGTGAAATGGGCCATAATTAGAAATAAAGTGAAAATGATGGAAATAAAGCAAGGTAGAATCTTGACTGACTCTTTTTTTAAAAGTAGCCTGTCATAAGCATAAAAATAAGGGATATCTAGATGATACTTTAATATAAATAGCCACACACAAATATACAGCATATATTATAAGGTATTTACTACTGCTCTCCTGTTTCAAATACTGGATTTTTAAAACTCAAACTAAAAACTTTAAGTAAAATCTAAATTGACAAATTTAATCCCAACAAATATTCCCTGTAAATTTCCATTATAGACCCCCCAAAAAGTTTAAAAAATTAAATTGAGGTCCAGTCACTAGCTGGAAACTTTATTAATCTAATTGTTTTTATATAATGTTAGGCAATGAAAAAAAAATAGGACAGTTCCCCAAAATGTAGTAATCAATTCAGACATGAAGAACAACTGACCTATTTCAATACTTAAATGAAGAGACTGGCATTCTTAAATAACCTAAATCCTCAAATAACTTAAAGATAGTAACTACTACTTATGGCACATCTTGACAGCTTCTCCATTTTGACATTCCTTTTCTTACTCTTTACCCAGACTTCTGTGGTTGGTAATTCCCACTTTCAAGACCTCATACTCCCAACTTAAAAATGACTGAGACTTAACAGACACTACCTGGCCCAAAGGTGCAAAAAGTCAGTCCTTAAAAATTCTGGTCTCTGGTTCTCTATCACTGAGAAACACAATAGAAGTTTACTTAGAAGACTGTACATTTTTGTTATGTCATATCAGATTTCCACAAAATATGAAGCATATTACTAAAACTGAATTTGTTTTAAATTGTGAAAAGTCCCTGGTTTAATATACTTTTAAAATATATTAATAAAAATAGAGTGTATTTGGCCAAATACTTACTTGACTTGTTTCACTTAAATTAAATATGTATAACGAGTTTTTAAAATATATATAAGAAACAAAACCCAAGGAAACATATTTAGTGGAAAACATCCATGAGTTATTCTGATAATACTGTACAGCAAATATCTCCGAACATAAGACTACTACGTAAACTCTTAATACAAAAGGCAACTGAACATAAGGTTTTCTCTTCTCGTCATAATTTTAAAATTATACTTACTACTGGTACGTAAGAAGAGTTCTTTCACTATTCTGAAGGTGAGAAAGAATAGATAATAGCAATCATAATCAGACTAGAATGAGTTCTTGAACCATAATTCAAGAACTGAAACCCTAATTCTAAAAGCACCAAAAACTTTTCTTTAGACCTCAAAAAAACTCTCTAAAATATTTCTAAATTTATAAAACATGGGATGTAAAACTACATGTAATAAAGTATTTTACTCTGCACATAAAAATAAGACATACAAAACCAAAGTCAAAATGGTCTCACTCTTAACAGAGAAGTCACTTGAAAGATGGTTTAGAATTCTTCCCTTCCCAGTAAAAGTCTGGTATTCTGTTTTAAAAAACCATCCTATTCACTTATATGCAAGCAATCTTAAATGAGTGATTTACCTGACAAGCTAACTTTTAATAAATTCCAAATTAAAAGACAAAACAAAATAATCACCAATTGACTTTTACTCCAGGAACATAAAGCTGACTTGGGAACAAAGACATTCTCGTATCAAAACTTCCCAACCAACGGAAATGCCTAGTTTTACGAAGGTAGCACAGCACTCCTGGGCGGAGCCCCACAAAGCCGCGCGCCAGTGCGGGGTGGGCGATGGGCACAGCTGGACGCGGGAACGGACTTGGAGGTAACACTGGACGCGGCGTGAAGGTCACCTGGGAGCGCCCGCTCTCAGCACTGCTCTCCCACTACCGCGGGTCTTCCCAACCGCACCCGTGCCCGGGAGGACGAAGACAAAACGCTGACCGTTTCAGATAGGAATTAAATGTAGAGCAAACCAAACTTCAGCCAGGAGCTGCTCCCGAACACCCTCTCCCAACCACCGCCACAACGTGTTGAAACATGCAGGTCACTTTATCCTACAAACACGGCAGCTTATGGCAAGTCCATGTGTAGCTGTCCCTTTGCTTGTCCTAAACGGGGATGAAACAAAACCCGCCGATAGCCACCTTCAGGTTCCTGTTGACGTCAGCTATTTTAATATCTCCTCCCATTTTCCAGAGCGATTTCCAAAGTCTGGGAAGGAATGTTTCCACTAATAAATACCTTTGCATTGAATGTCTGTTACACCCCCGGGAGGCATCCAGCTCTGCCCATCACAGAATTACTCAAAAGCTCTTAACTGCTGACCTAAAAACCTAAGTCTTTTCTCGTAAATTCCACATTAATTCGTGGCAACAACTGAGCAGCCTGGTTGTACTCCTGGGAAAATAGTCACCAAAACCTAGAAAAAAAAATTCTGGAATAACTGGTGTCTATTCTCTTATTGTGTGTGTATATATATATTTAAATATTATTTATATATTACATATGACATATTAGGGCAATGTTATATATACTATATTACATACTTTATACCGTATATTATATGTTTATATACTCAGTTTACTCATAGTAACTCTCTATAACAATTACATGATAATGACAAACTCACCCCATTCTAGGTATTCCAGAATGTTCTTCTCCCTTCTCAGCGGAGAGTTGTTGCACTCGTCGTACAGGCAGATGAGAATGTCCAGCAGGGTCTCCACGCTGAAGCACTGCCCGTTGGTCCGCGCCGGCCCGTCCAGGATGAACTGCTCCAGCTGCCGCAAGCGCACTTCCCCGGACATGGTTGGTGGCTTCGGGTCCCGCCGGCTGTCCTCCGACTGGTGGGCGACTCCTCCGGGGATGCTTTGAGCCCAAGTGTTAAAAGCTGCGGTTTTTTAAAAAAAACAAACCGCTGGTGATTCCAGCCACTGTCGTGCAGCGCCGGTGCTGAACCGAACATCCAACACGCCGCTGCCCTCACTTGACTGCCGCGTCTTCAACTCCGCGCGTGGACATATAGGTGTGGGGGGGTGGTTACCATAAAATATATATCTGATACATTTTTTAAAGAATACAATTAAGTCGTAGATTTAAATAAAATAATAATTAAAAGTACAACGAGTCAACACTTCTTTCGGGGGAGGGGAGAGGGGGGATCAACAGCTCTTCTCCTTCATTCAAAATTCAGCTCGTGCAACCTAATCCCGACGCGAAGCCCGTTGCATCATTCATTAGGTCCGCGGCGCATCAGCCATTCGCTTCCCGGGAAGGAGGAGCGCGGAGCAGGGAGGACCAGGCCAGACGCCGGGAAGGGGGAGGGAGACCCCAAATCCGCTGCAGATCCTCGCCACCGCCGCTGGGCCGGTGCATCCGCGGCGATTCCTCCGGCGGCGGCGGCGGAGGGCGGGGGCGACCTGCGGCGGCCGCGGCCGAGCACCGAGTCGCGCCCGGAGGCGGCTGTCCTCCCCCCGCGCTCCCGCTGGGTCACGGCTGTGCAGGGAGTCCCGTTCCCAGCGGATGCGGAGGAAACTTCATTTTTCTCCCGGCTTCTCCCAGGGCCTGGCGGGCGGCGCGCCGGGGCTGCGGGCGGCACTGGGCGCCGGGCCGGAGCGGCGGCTACTCGGCCGCCCGAGCCCGCTCCATGGCGGTGGTCGCGCTCGGCCGCTGGGCCGCGCCGGGCAGGGCGCCGACCTCCACACCCGCACCCGCCGCCGCCGAGGCTCCCGGCGCCCTGGAGGGGAGGGGGTGCTTCTCGGGATTCAAAGCGCACGGGCGGCGGCGGCCACGACGGTGCGGGCGGCTCCGGCGGCCCCGGCTCCTCCCGGCTCGCACCCCCGGGTGAAGGGCATCTTCCCGCGGCGACGAGGGAGCGGCCAGGCGCCGGGGGAGGGACTGGTGCCGCGGCGAGGAGCGCGGAGGCTGCCGCAGCCCGGCTCGCGGCCACTCCCTTCCTCTCCCGCCCCCGCCCCCGCCTTCCCGGCCTCGCGCCCGCGCCCTGGGCTCCGCCAGGCTCCCGGCCCCGGCCCGGCCGCGCGCAGGTCCAATATGGCGGCCGCGCCCCCCGCGCGCACGCGCCCCGCCCACACCGCCCGCACGCCCCGCCCACGCCGCCCGCACGCCCGCCCACGCCGCCCGCACGCCGCGCCCCCGCCCCCGCCCCCGCCGAGCCTGCGGGCCGAGGCCCTGGAGGAGGGTGGGAACCGCCTCGGCGGCCGCGCCGCGGAAAGCGGGGATGCGGGAGGACCGGGCGGGCGGGGAGCCGCGCCGCCGCCTCGCGCTCTCCCGGTCCCCGAGCTTCTCGAGTGGGTCGCGAAGCGGGGCGGCCTCCTGGTCCTCGGAGACCCCGCCTGCGGCACGTTTAAGGGGGCCCCGCGGCCTCAGGTCCCGACAGATCTGCCCAGGAGAGTGCTCTCGCCGCCCTCCCGGGCCGCCCCCAGCCCCCCAGTTCAGTTCTCGGGCTCGGGGCAACCGGTTCCCGGGGGTCTCATTGCAGCGTTTCTGTGTCAGTTCCCGGGGCGAATACCAGGACGGGCTGTGCGCGCTGCCCTCCGAGTGGTGAGTGTGTGAACGCAAAGGACAGGATTCCCGAAGGGTCCCTGCGTCGGGCGCAGGGCTCCTGCCCCGGAACTATTCCCGCCGCCGCCCGCTGCTCCCAGCCAGGGCTGCCTCCTGCAGGGGCCCCGCGGCGGGAGTCGGGCAGCTCACTCCCCCAGCAAGCCCGCACCTCCCGAGCAAGCCCGCACCTCCCGAGCAAGCCCGCACCTCCCGAGCAAGCCCGCACCTCCCGAGCAAGCCCGCACCTACCGAGCAAGCCCGCACCCGTTTGCGCACGCACACGCGTAACCCAATGGCACTGCAGAAATGGCAGCAAAGGCAAGTCATGCATAGCTGCGCCCCCAGGCAGCTGAGGCCTTCCAGGTGGTTCCAATCTGGGTCTGAGAGGAGCACTCACATATCTTGTGGAAGGCCCCATATTTAAATACTAGTGGCCCAGTGCACAAGTTTGTGCACATGAAAGGAAATTAGAAGAAATATTTTAAGATCGCTATTTGCCCTTTCTCTATAATAGAAGTGTCAACCAAATTCATGATCAACAATGACAGATGGAAACACATGCGTGAGATTGGCGCCAGCAAGAGCTTTATATAGATATTAAATATACTAAAAAATATATAAATTAGGTCACTGCATTTCTGTCTTTTACTCTCAAAATTGTCATCTTTAAAATCTTTCTGCAAAATACAGGGTTGTGGGCTCAATCCCCAATAGGGGGCATTCAGGAGGCAGCCAATCAATGATTCTCTCTCATCATTGATATTTCTACCTCTCTCTCCCTCTCCCTTCCTCTCTCAAATCATTCAACATATTTTTTTTAAATCTTTCTGCAAAATACAGTTATTTTCTAGTCCTTTCCAACACCCATGTCCACAATTGCATCGTTTTACGTGTGAATAATATGAAAGCTGAGGAAAAATGAGCAACGAAGGTCTAGAAAGAAAGTCTAGACATGAAGGCTAACAAATTATTCAAGTTGCTATGATTCACAGAATAGTGTGGATTTTTGTGTGAATGTTGGACAGCATTATTTGCAAAGTGCTCTGATAGACTCAGACAAAAGATCAGTCGTTTCTAGCCTGACATCTTTATCTGTGGGCTAATCATAAAAGCATTAGAAAAGCAAAAGGGAAAAAAAAGCAAAAATCCTAACAGATAATCATTAATATTTTGGTGTTCATTATCCATCTTTTTTATGCATTTTAACAAAATGACACATAATAAAAGACAGTTTTATAGCCCCCTGTTTTCACTTAGCAATATATTGTAAACATCTTCTCAAGTCAACAAATATTCTTCAATAACATGGTTTCTAACAGTGAAGCCAAGACATTTTAACATTTTCATTTGACCATGAGTTAGGGTAGCAAAGAAAGAAGCAATTTCTTTTGCTTTTACGCCACAGAACTGGCTGTAAGCTACCTACTTATCGAACTTGTAAATAAGTTTAGAAAAGAATTTAAAAGAAAAAAACCTAAAACATGTTAGCTCTCCATAAATGGGAGCACAGTATATGAGCTACCGATATATTTCTTAATAAAAGAATCAAGCTGCCAGCCCTTTCTCTACCTATTCTGTTAGCACTTGGGTACCACCCACAGGCCAGAGTTTTTATATTTGCATAATAACCTTCACCACGTTGTTTAGTGAGGACGGGGGAGAACATATTTTTATTTAAAAAAAAAACAAAAAACCCACACACACAAAGAGAAGGAATTAGGTTGAACCCAATCAATTTTGCTTGAATAATTCAAGCCCAGAGACTTAATAATTAACTAGACACTAAACACATTGTGCGGGTGTTACTTTAAATGTTCCGGTTGACGTGTGAACATGCTTGTTAATGAAACTGGTATTCAGCCAAAGAAAGGCGCGGCCCAGTCGCCCCACATCGCTGCGTGGCAGGGTGTTCTTTGGGAAGAGAGCCTGGAGGAGGTCTTCTTTGGGAAATGGTGCTTGGGGACCTGGGGAGCAGATTGCACCCCTGCAAACACAATTTGTTTGAAACCATCAGAGAAAAGTTTTATGAGGGGGCTGGGCATTCGTCTGACCTTTCAGGAAAGAAAGGGGGCGGGAGAGGACGTAAAGATGCGAGAGTGAAAAGAATCAGACCGGACGGGAGTCCTTACGTGAGTTCCAATGCAGGCTCTCTTCATCTCACCCCCCACTCCTGACCTAATTAATAGCAGGAGGACCGGTTCATCAATTGGTATTTATAACAACCAGCTCCATTCTTACCTTGCTGTGTCTTAGTCCATTAGCTATAGGTTCAGTGATGGAGAACGGGGCCAAAAGCAAGGTGAATGCACGCAGGGCTTCATGTGTAGTAAGGAGGATAGTTTACCACAGCCCCCTCCCAGGCCCACTAACGCACCCCGGAGCTACGAATGAATGGCTTGGTTTAGTGCCCTCTGAGGTTGAAATGCCGGCAAAGGCTTGTCCTCACTTCAAGTCTGGCTTCCGACATGAGTAATAGCAACTGCAGATGCTTACTTATGGAAAAGGAGGCTTTGTCATAATAATGGCTTTCTTCACAGAACATTTACAGTGAGTGCATACTGTCCAGAGTACTTTGAACACAGTATTCTATTCAATTGTCATGATCACGTGAAATAGAAAAACTGTCATCTCCATATCATTGATGAGGAAACAGGTTTAGAAGGCTTAGAGGACTTGGGAAAGACCACAAAAATAGCAAGCGACAACACCACGCTGTCTCAAGGCGCGGCCAAAAGTCCTAACCACCATATGAGGTCTGAAAGGTCTACGGATCCCGAAAACCACCTCTCCCTCCTGTTGTGACGTGGAAGCATGTATTTGTTAATTCACATATTTGAGCTTTAGAAATTGCTATTGGGGCAGAAGAGGAAAACCCATATGTGATGTGTCAGGATCCAGCCAGAAAAACAGAAATCAGCTGTGCATTTAATCAGAGGAACCCTCATTCTGGAAAATGGCTACACCGGTGATAGAGGAACAGAGGAATCAAACAAGGGAGAGTGAGGCGGTCAGCAGCAGCCGCTGCCTCCAGCCCCTGACCAGGCTGGAGGGAGCTGGAGCCACAGAGGAGACACAGGGCCTACTAGGGAGCAGCCCCAGGCCTGAGAGGGGAGGAAGGTCCTCTGGCCTCCACTCTCCCCGCATTTGCCTGGAACACAGAGTTTGTGAGACCTGTGCATGCATTGTCCCCCAAGGTACACCGCTGAGCAGGCAATGGGGGAGGAGTGGCTGTCAAGGCAAACAGGCCAAGGATTGGCACACATGACCAACCCATTTTACTCAAAGAAGATAAATCAATAAAACAAATGTTTTCTCTCCGAACAACCATGCAGTGGATTTTGAAGTGGCAGGGTTTTAACATGGGGAGACTTTCACTCCTCCCCCTTCATATTTATTTTGCTTTTTGTTTTAACCCCTCACAAAGGTTAAGGAAACCATCCCAACAAACCCTTTTCACCTAGGGCGCGTTTACCTAGACAGACAGTCAGACAGGTTCGTAGACTCAGATGTGTCACTTGCTTATCAGGGGATCTTGCCCAACTTGTCCTGTCTTTAAACCTCTCATTTAAATTTCTCACTAAAGCTCTACATACACAAGCTCTACTACATGTGAAATTTTCAAAAACATGTGTGGGGTCAAATAGTATAATAGAGATATTGTCCTCTACTACATCTAGTTAGTAAGCTTGAACAATAAAAAGGAAGGTGGCATTCTCTTATAAATCCCATCAGCATTGACACATTTGGCAAAAGACTCCTTGGCTGAGTGTGGTGACAAAAACCAAGCCGGTTAATAAGCCAATGTGTTCCTCTCAGCCCTGATGTAGGGCTGGAGGTGACACAGCCAGGGCCGAGGGGCTGGCAGCCAAGCTGAGAGGTAGAGAAGCCAGTTACCACACTCTGGAAATCTCTCCGGCCAAGGTTACCAGAGACTTCCACATGACCAAAGCCAGCCGTCAGTCCTCAGTCCCCGTCTCATTTGACCTTTTAGCGGTATTTGAGCACAGATCAGCCCTCTTCAATGAAACACTTTTCTTCACTTGGCTTCTGTTCTCTCCTCATTTTCTACTGCCTCACTGGCCACTGCTTCTCAGTCTTCTTTGCTAGGCCCTCCTTTCTTACAGATCTCCAAAAGTGGGAGTGCCCCAGGGTTCAGACTTTGAACCCTTTCTAGCCGATTTCAATGAGTCTTAAGGACTCAAATGCCATATAGGATGGCTTGGAAAACACGTCACAAATTCTACAACACTCCTCTCATTCAGAAGTGGGTCTTTATTCCCTCACCTGGAACATAGGCCAATCTCAGTGACTCACCACTGGTA